TAAATGGTCCCACAAATAACATGATTATGCAACTGGGGATGGATTCTTTGGGTAACCTAATGAAGTCCAGCAGTGGTTCTAAAGAAAATCATATAGCAATTGGAAATCCACTGGAAAACAGCACATTCATGATGTTGTATTAGGTATTTTTTCAAATGCTAGTTTTATTCAAGAGTATAAAGTACATTGTTACCCTAGTGGGAAGGGTCGTGCACTGCTTGCATCTGCTTCTGCAAGAAGAGGGAAAGACTGATTTACACTATGTTTTCTACGGACATCTACAAAGGTCAATTTCACAACATGAAATTTATTCACTTACCACACAAAAAACAGTCAATAGGAGCAGGGCAAGTAAATGGAACACGGCATTTTGAGAGAATAGCGTTTTATTCATTGTTTCAAAGATGCTGGTCATAATGACCTAGAAATTAATGACTGTACCAAAAAGAAAAGTGTGTATACCTCATCCTGCCTTCCAAAAGCTTACGATTCAGGCAGCATTATACACCTTGTGCATAAATACAACATTGGACATAGAACTAAAGGTGAGATGCTTACCAAAAATGTAAATGAATGCTTAACTGAACAATAAGCTAGTGACACATTCGTTTATTTTCCCAACTCCAAGCAGATCGCAGGCTCCCTGATGGCAGATGTTTGGCAGTTCTTAATTAACCGCTCTCTCTCTAGCACCTAAAAAAGCATCTCACACATATTATTCCTTAGATAATGTGAACTTCAAGAGACATAATGAAGGGGACCCTATCCCTCTCCCTGCATAATTCTCTATCTTTGGGGAGGAAGAGTAGGATTGTCCATCTTCCTCTTAAAATCACTGCCCTTCTCAAACGAGAAACATTCAGTGTAATCAACACTGAGTCTAAGGGAAAAAAAATTAAAGCTTTTGTGAAGGACACCATCAACAGAAGACGTAACACACAGAGGGAGAAAATATTTGCAAATCATACCTGACAAAGGATTAACATCCGGAATAATTTGTAATAACCATGTATGGTATCGAAAGCCCAAAAACCCAATTCAAAAATGGACAAAGGACTTGAGATTTTTCCAAAGACAGATATACATATGAAAAATGAACACGTGTAAAGATTGTCAACAACACTAAATCATTAGGGTGATGCGAATCAAAACCAGAATGAGACAGCACTTCACACCCATGGAGATAGCTCTTTTCAAAAAACAAACAAAAAAAAACAGAAAAGAATTGCTGGCAGTGGTGTGTATTGCTGATGAGAATGTCAAATGGTACAGCTGCTGTGGAAAATGGTATGGCGCTGCCTCAAAAAACTAAGTACAGAATTGCCATATTTTCTCACAATTCTACTTCTTGATATATACTCAAAATAACTGAAAGCAGGTATTTTAAAAGATATTTGTACAGCCATGTTTGCAGTAGCATTATTTACAATAACCCAACGTGAAAGCAACCAATATGTCCACCAACAAATAAATGGATAAAATGTGGTGTGCGTGTGTACCTATGTTAGACTTAGCCGAAGGGAATGTAATTTGATATACGCAACACAGGTGGATCTTGAAAACATGATGCTTAGTGAAATAGGCCACCTGTGACAAAAAAGGACCAGCACTACACGATTGCACTTACACAAGGCACCTAGCATAGGCAGATTCAGAGACAGAAAGCAGGTTACCAGAGGCTGAGGGGCAGGCGAGTGGGGAGTTACTTTTTGGACGGTGAGGATGGTTATCATAACATTGCAAATGTATTTAATGTTACTAAATTGTACTTATGAATGGTTAAAATGAAAAATGTTATATCATTGTTACCACAATTGAAAAAGGGAACTTAACCATCAACCATCTCAGTTCCATAAACTTCGGTAAAATCTACAAGTGAAATTCATTGTTAAAGGTACTGGCTCGATAATTGACAGATTGAGATATTTTCTACAGAATACCTACTGATGAGCAGCATAATGAGCAGCGTTATGTTTTAAACACTATCTTTGCAAGCTTTGAGATTTATCCATAAGCTTTTTTCTCCTCCATACATATTTCTACCACCATCAGCTGTAACATTAACTCAGCCAATTCCCACTTCAAGTTATACTGAATTAGTGATTTCTCATTTTTTTAAAAAAAATCTCACCTGCAGCGGTCCTATGCAGGCTCTTCCGTGCAGGCTCATGCTTCAGTCTCTTCGCACCTGGGGCCGAGTCCTGCATAAAGAAGCTAGCAGTATGGGTAACATTTGATCCCCAAGGAAAACTACTGAAAATCGTTTGCTTTGTTTTCAATTAACTGTTGATATCGTTTCTAAGGTTCTCAACTCTTTGAGCAATCATTCTCACCCAAAAGCTAGTTGTCTTAAGTTTATTTTCTCGGAACGTATTTCTTCCAGAGAAATCAACGCACCAATAGGAACCAGCAGTCCTCCCTTAGTTAAGGAATAAGCTACTCCTACATTCAAAGCAGACAAAGTCTTTCTTAAAACGTGAGCAGGCACTAATTTTTTAGAATAAAATGTCACTCGAAACACTTTATTTCAAGATACTTTATTTTGCAGCAGGTCGAAACGCGAAGTTACACACGTGAGTGCAACGCAGTGCAAAGCGCTAGCGGTGCCACCTGTCTGCGGCAACTGCTTAACTCACCCGCCGCGGCCGCAGCCCGGGAAGCGCACGGGAAGCGCACGGACCGGCCCCCGCGTGAATTTCCTGTCATTTGCACAGACCGTTTCTGCTCGCGTGCGGCGGCTCGCCACCACCTGGCAGTGGGAACCGTCCTTTGCTCAGGGTTCACGCGCGAACGGGCAGGGGCCACGGGGCCCGCGGCCGTGTTCGCGTTCCTCCCGCCTGCACCCGGGGCTTCTCCCGCCACGCCCAAGTCGCCCTTGGCCTTCTCCGCACTGACCTTCCCTCCGTTCCCTCCCTCGCTGGCCTTTTAAAAAGTGCGCGACAAGCGTTCACTTTATTTCTAGCTCGCTCAGTCATTTCACTCGGTTGAAATTTCCTCTTTAACGCAAATAACCGAGGACGATTCAGGGCAAAGAACTTACCGGAGGCGCGGAGTCTCCGCCGCAAAAGCTGCCGCAGCGGCCCCCGCGCAGCCGGCGCCCCCTTCGCCCCAGCTGCGCGCAGAGGCCCCAGGCTCCTCCCCCGCCCGGGCCGAGGCACCTGGCCGGCAGGTGCGCGCCAAGACACCGCCTCCCACTGCGGGGGGTCGGGGGGCGAGCCGCACAGCCCACAGCCTCGCTGGCTTAGTCTTCATTTCCTTAACCTGGTTCTAATTTCTCCCCCTAGAGCAAACCCAACTCCTTCGCCACCGCTGACACCGAACACTTAAGGGGAGAGGGGACGCTTCTTTACACAGAGCTGCACTTGCAAGGCAAGAGAATCTGCTGAGAACGCCCCGCCCCACGCCAAAAAACGAAAACAAAACTTTGCTGTCAAGAGAAAGCTCCTCCTTACAAAAACATGAGGGAATAATGCTAACACCAGTTAGTGAAAACTTGAAAAGGGTATTCAGCCTTCCTCCTCACAACTTAATTACAAAGGAGAAAAGTATCTCTACAGTGAAAACACTTAGATGCACCTTAATCCAAGTGCTCAAAGTAAACCACTAAAAATAGGACAAAGTGACATTCTGTATTCACGGTGCCCCAAGAACACAGCATCCTTTCTGTGGTATTCCTACAGAATGCTAAATTAAACCTAATTGCCAGGAAACATCAAACCCAAATTGTACATTCTACAAAACCAGCCAATACTTCTCAAATATGTCATGAAAGACAGAAAGGAGGCTAAAGGGACATGAAATCTAGATGCAATTAATGATTCTGGGTTGGATCCTGGACCAGGAAAGAAGAACCATGACAGACATTATAGAGAAAACTGGCAAAATTTGATGGACTACATAGTATTGAATCAACGTTAAATTTCTTGATTTTGCTCATTATTCATTCTGTGGCTACATAAAACATCCTTGTTCTTTGAAAACAGACACAAATATCTGAGGCAAAAAGGGATGTCCCTAACTTAAACACAAAGGATCAGAAAAAAATGTGTATATATATATATACATACACACACACACACACACACACACATATATGTATATGTGGAAAGATATATAATATATAAAACCATTAGAGCAAAATTGGTAGAGCTGGATAAAGAATATTTGGAAGTTCCTTGTACTATTCTTGCAAATTTTCAAGTTTGAAATTATCAAAATTATCATTTCTAGAATGCTTGCTGTACAAATCTGCCAGAAGCAAATGTGCAAGGATCAGTGGAGAGCAAGACCCACCTGGGCTCTGCCACTTCCTTGCAGAGCCTGACACATGCACGTGGCACACACCCACCCAACTGAGCCCGAGCAGGAAAAGCAGACAAGTACATGGAACACATAACTGAACAGTTCCTTCTCCCACTACTCAACAGGCGCCAGCTAGGCCAGGCACTACTGCCCCACCCCACCACAGTTGTACCCATAGCCTCAGCGGATTCTAAGCCCAGAGCCATCTACCCAGGATCCAGCTAGTGAGCTGCCTTCCTTTACATCAACTGACACCTCCTTTTCTCTGATCTTCCCCAACACACCCACTCACATTTGATCTCATATGCTCCAGGTACTGGGCTCAACACTGAACAGAACTATCTATCCTACCTCCCAATCACAGAAAGCCCAACCTTCGTACACTCCCCGGAGTGTTACCCCTTCAAGGGCAATTTCATCAGCCCAAATCATGCACCTGGGAGGTGCTGAGGCGCATGCAGGGTGCAGAAGAGAAAGCATTTCCTCACTCGCCCAGAGCTCAGGGCCTGCCAGGCCTGCCAGAACCAGCAGGGTGGAGCTGGCAAGCTAAGCAGTGTGCACTTTCTAGGCGCTATCTCCATGGGCACCGCACGGGTCACAGGTGCTCATACTGCAGACCGTTCTTTCAGGATTTCTCTCTTGAGAAAGAACTCCTGCCCTTCGCTCCACTGGCACCCGACCCCACAGATGACACAGGCAAAGTTGTCCATGGTTTATTGGCATATTACAGCACAGCAGAAAGATTCAAACGGCTCCACGTGGTGTTTTGAAATTCATCCCAACTGTAGGCTGGGTGACCTGCAGGTTGGACAGACTGCCAAAGTCCTGGAACAATAAAATGGATTCAGTGTGGCTGTATCAATGAGATCTAAGGACCACTGCCAGCCCATGCTTGTCAGCCTCCGCCAGCTTGGGGTCAGGTTGATGTCATGTGCAAAAACCTAACAGAAGGCCTTCTCCTCCCCGCCCCGGACCCATAAACTCACAGGTCTACTGGAGATCTCAAGGACGCAACACTCCAACAGCCAGGCATCATGTGCACTGTACATTTAGCAACATCCTTGGCCTCTATCCACTAATGTCTGCTGGGACCCCCTAACTTTGACAACCAGAATGTGTCCAGACATTACCACATGTCCCCCAGGGAAGTAAAATCTTCCCCTTTGAGAATCACTGCTTTAGGGTGTTCACAGTGCCACTTCCTTTCCAGGACCAGCCTCAGGCGGGCTTCACAAATGGCAGGCCCTGAGCATTCAACATGTGTGAAGGGCCCAGGTAGAGTGGTTAAGGGATGGAGGTCAGGGCCTGCCTTTAAGCCAGTTCAATCCAAGTGGGGTGGGCCCACCAAATACCTCAAAATAATATTTTGAGGATAAAGAATTTCCCACTTTATCCTCAAAAACCAATTTTCTAATTAAAACTAAAAAGTTGCATTCAGGATAGTGGTTATTTTAGGATGGTCCACAGACTTTAACTGTCCTGGAAATGCTTTTCTGAAGCTGGGTCATGGTGATAAGAGAGTTCATTTGCTCTAAATCACCAACTTCCCATTGGGCTTTGAAGCCCATGTGAAAACTTCGCACAAGTACTAAGATAAGCCACAAAGGAGCCATGCATCAACCCGTAGTGAAGATAGCTAAGTAAAGCCTGGTAACAAGCATCTGTAAGTGAGACCACAGCTCACTGGAATGGTAAAGCATACAGACACAGAAGAAAGTCCCCAAGAGCAAGCAGGCCGAGTGTAAGAGCAAGGGCTGGAACCACAGGGGCCAGTGTGAGGAGCCAGCCACAGAACTGAAGATGCCAGAAAAGAACGTGTGGGAAACACTGAGAAAGACGCCTCGTGTACTCTAAAGATTCAACAGCTGTCAGCTGGCACTGTAACAGACGGTGGAAAGCTGCTGATGGTTCCTGACCAGGGAAGCCTTACCAGGAGCTTCAGCATCTCCTTAGTGTCAGGATCAACTTCAATGATCTCCTGATCCAGGGCTGAGACCTAGAAGGAACAAGGCAGGGCCAAAATATCAACCAATGAGTTATCACTCGTCTCCCCCAGAAAGGGGACGGAACAGGATCCTAGAAGGTGAGCCTAAGCATTACAGGCCCCAAATCAGGTCTCCTGGATATGCCTTCAATGCCCTCGTTACCACCTTATCAGTATTCAGAAAACCTTCAGCAATACCATGCTAGGGTGAAGAAGCCAGCAGACATGACAAGTCAAACGTCATTAAGGGCTCTCATGTTGAGATCAAAATGGACTTCAACAGCCCCAACAGAGCAGAACAGACTAATTTACAGGCAGGTTAAAGTTAGCGGCACCTACAGCTGGTTAGGGGTATTAAAAAACGAGCCTCTTCCAGTTGTACCAGGTCTCCCTCCACCAGGCTAACAGGACAAGCCTCTGACCCGTGGAGTGGGTGGGGGTCTTGAGCAGGGCGCCACCCTCTACTTCCCCACCTTTCCACAGCTCCTGAATCACCTTCCCAACGACCCTAAGCCCCTCTCCCTCCTTCTCAAACTCAGCTGAGGCCCCTTTAGGAACCAGGTACCTGAAAGGGTTCTCAGGAGCCTGTTTTATCTTTCAGGATGAGCCAAAGACCCAGAAAGTTTACCTCGGGAACATAATTATCTCTCCTCTCTCTCTCCTCTTCCTGCAGCTTGATGGAGATACCTCTCACGGGGCCTCTCTGAATCCGCTTCATCAGATGGGTGACATAGCTACAAAGTATAAACGCCCAAGGAGAACACTGAGAACACACAGGTGCTCAGGCTGGCGCACACAACACCCGGTACACAAGTAGCAGTTTGTTTTTCTCCAGTGAGAAGGGAGGAGTCGCCATCCTAGGGACCCAGACTCTGAACGGTCCCCGCAGCGCCACCGCCTAAGCACACCCGTCCCTGTGGTGCTTACCACACCCTCTATTCAAATTCTTTCAAAGCTGTCAAATCCTCTCCGCCCGGTTTTCATTTTCTTTCCTCCGAGAGCCAAATTACACAATTTCCTGTACTTAACATTAGTGTCCCGGAGGTCTGACCGAGGCTCATCTCGTCTAAGTGTCACCGCCAGATACAACGCGAACGTGAGACAATCCCAACAACACACCCTGCAAACGCACGCCTGCAGCGCTCTTCCCCGGGGTACCGGGCGACGCACTAGCGAAACAGGGCACGATCCCCTCCCGAGTCGGGGGACGGCAGACACAGCGCCCCGGAGGCCGGGCGCCCACCCCACTCACCCCGCTATCTTGTTGCGGAGCTTCTTGCTGGGAATAATGGCGATCTCCTCGCACACGCGCTTGTTGGTGTGGAAGTCGTTGCCCAGGCGCGTGTAGTACTTCTCGATGATGACCCGGGCCGCCTTCTTCACGGTCTTGGTGCGAACGCGGCCCTGCGAGTGGAGAAGACAGGGTCACCGCAGGCCAGGACAGGCCTCCGGGGCAGAGTGCGGCGTCACGCCCCGGGCTCCGCGGGCTGGGGCCGAGCTCGGGGAAGGAGAGCCGGCGGGCGGCAGTGGAGCGCGGGGGTCAACGCGCAGGCCAGCGGCCCGCGGAGGCTCCGGCCTAAGACGGCCCGGTGCCTCTCCCTGACGGATGAGGACCGCGAAAAGCGGTGGATGGAGGGCGATTGCGGGAAACGCCAGCTTCGAGGCAAAGCACCTACCATCTTCGCGGGTCCCTGGTGAAAGAGGAAGTAGGAAGCAGAGAGTCTCCTTTAAGGCGCGGGCCAGAAAGCCGCTTCCTCTTTGCCAGGGACGCGCTGAACCAACTCGAGAGCGCTGCAGTGACCCCTAGCGGCGAGGGGCGGAAGTGCAAGAGGCCCGCCCCAGCCCAGCGGGCAGGGCAGCAGCCGTCCCGCCCCCCTTGTGGGCGGACCTCCTGGGTTTCCGAGCTCGGCCCCGCCTAGCGCTGTGGCGGGGCGACCTCTCTAGTCTCTAGGCTCTGACCGGATCGCCCGTTCGATGTGCTCCAGACAAGGAGTGCATCCCCTCCACATAGGCCAGGGAGAGGGAGAGAGGCTTAGGATCGTTGAGAAGGCGATTCAGGAGCGTGGAAAGGTGAGGAAGTAGGGGATGGCGCCCCGCTCAGGTCTCTTACCCACTCCACCAGTCAGAGGCTTGTCCTGTTAGCCTGGTGGAGGGAGACCCGGTACAACTGGGAGAGGCTCATTTCTTCCTAATCCTTGCTCAAACATCACCTTATCAGAGGGGCTTTTCCCTCCAACTTAGAAAGCTGCTCTAATATTTCTTAATACTTGTCACACTGACTTGTCTTCGTTTTCTCAACAAGGGGTGAGCTCCACGACAGCAAGGGCCGTTTGGTTTGGCTGCTCCCAGTGCCTGGAACAGTGCCCAGAACGAAGCAAGCTGTCAAACATGTAAGTGGAGGGCCCAGTTCACCTACACCGCTCCCAATAACTGAGGCGGCGCCTGTCCAACCACTGTCTTCAAGCCGTTGCTGCCACACCCACCCTAAAATCAGGGTCTCTGAAGCCACCAGTACAGGCCTGGTGGCTTCTCCTGATGGCCTCATTAGCCTAGGAAGTACCATGCCTCCTCCTTCCAATTCGGCTAAAGTGAGTCCTGGGCCCCTACCTGACTCAAGGAAAGTCTGGGCTTGGCTGGCCAGGTTGCATAAGGGGCCCAGGGCTATGCCTCATCTCTCGACTCACCTACTAGTTACCCTGGTCAGTCCAGTCACACTGAACTGACTGGGACATTAGTCCCTCCCTGTAGGAGAATAAAGAGTGGCCAAAACGGAAGGCTGACTCTCCTGAGAGTTACAGGAACTGACTTTACCAGCAAATGTCGAACCAAGCCGCTGCCAGCCAGGCCTCAAATGAAAGGCGAAGCCGCTCCTTGGCTGAGGGACTCCCGACCCCTGACAGTGAGCCCCTGCACCTCTCACAAAAAGGACACTTCGGTGTGCAGGATTCCCCACACCTCAGACTAGAATGCAATCTGCCAAAAGATCAGACTGGCAGCTGGGCCCAGGCACAACCTACCTGACAAAATCAGCCGACTCACCCATCCTGGAAGCCTGAGACGAGTCCCGACGACAGGGCTCTCTGAAGGATGGCGGAAAGTGCCCTGCATGGCTCCCTCTCGGAAAGGAACTGGATTAGCACAGGCGAGTCCACAGGATGGAAAGCCTCCCATCGTCAAGAAACAGGCCCGGGGGTTACAGGAGAGGCTGAGACAGGCAGCTCACAACGATGCCTGAGCAGCTGTGCCTCCAGTTCCCCCCCAGCTGAGTCTGGAGCTGAGAGGAGGTGCCCCAAGAAGCTTCAGTGAGGGCTCTTCACATTTGCACTAGAGGTACCCACCTGCCAGGTGCACTTGCCCACAGAAGTACTTACAGGGGCAGGTCTTCACGTGGCCCCACCATCTACCTGGGCTGGAATCCCATGACAGAAAATCCAAGGAAACGTGAACTTTCACTCCGGAGTTTTACTTGTTACCCCACTGCCCCTTGGCCCGCAGCCCTCAGACACAGAGACAAGACCAGAACTCTGCTGCAACGTGTTTATTATGTGCCAAAAAAACTACACCACAGCTTACTCCACACATCTGTAGGAGACTGCAGCCTTGCCTGCATATACTACAATGAGGTAGAGACTTCACACACAGCTTCACAAAACCCACAGAGTAGCTGGGATATGCAACAGTGCAACGTCAGCTCAGCAGGAGGGGGTGGGTTATGACACTGATTCTTTGGCACACAGCTTCCCAAAGAGGGGCAAGTAGGTGTTTTTTGTTTTGTTTTTTTTTAAAAAAAAAGAAAGAAAAAAGAAAAAGGAAAAAAGAAAAAGTCAAGTTTTCAAATTCCAGTAGCATTTCTGTCAACTGCAACTGTTGCTTCACACATTTCTCAAATGAAAGGAGTAAGGGAAGGGTACTTGTCCCCTCTAAGAGAAAGGGCTCCTGTGAGCCTTCATCTGCCCCCACCAAAAGCAGCCCTTTTTTAGCTCAGTTACAAAACAAAAAAAGTCCTGTGACTTTGTGATTAAAAACGTCTATCAACCCTCCCCCACCAAATAAGTGCAACTTAAGACGGTGCAATAAACCATTTAGAACTATATACAGCAGCGCTCAAACACCGTTTACCTGGTCCTGTTTCAAATCAAAAAAGTTTTGTTCTTAGTTGCAAATGCCTTGTTCGCAACTGTAAAAAACAAACAGTGACCGGCAGTCCCCCAGACACAAATTTGCTATAATGTTAAAAGCTGCCAGGAAAGGAAAAAAAACAAAACCAAAAAAAAAAAAACCTCTTCCAAACGACTTATAAACTGTTTTAAGGAGTGTAAAAAGGAACCGGTAAAAACCCTCGAGCGTAAAATATGAAATATGGTTTTGGTTTAAATGAAGAGCAAAGTCTCCTTGTTGTTTACAGTAAAAAACACCAGCTGAACACTCAGTTTATGCCGTTCAGGTGGGGGTTAAATAAATGGAAAGGCACTGTATGGCAACTGCAAGAAAAACCAATGAGACCTGTGCATCATCACCATCAGTATTGCAAGGAATGTAAAAAAAAGCGCTTTTAATAAATAAACCTAGATGTAGGCATCGTGTCAATACCTTCTGGACACGTAGCTCTTTTTTGCTTTTTATCTGCAAAATGAGGAACTAAAATCTGGGAAAACTACAGAGTCACTGGGAGTATAAGCCAGAGGGTCCTTGCCCTGGCACACCCCCCTGAAAACAAAACCCGACAAAACTCATTGTGCATTAATTAGTGCAGAAACAAAGACAGATTCAGCAAGTGCAAAGGTGACTATGATTTTCCCTTGTCCTGGGAAGCTAGCTCCCTGGTCGCCAGTGGCCTCGTGGTACAGGCTGCTGCCTGACCTGCCAGCCTTGGGCACCACAGGCCTGCGGGCGAGGCCGGCTCCTTTAGCTGGAATCTCGGTTCTTCTGGTTCCGCATCAGGGGGCTGTGGTGGCGCAGGCCCTCTGAGCTGTGCTGCCAGTGCCAGCAGCTCCGGCAGAAATACTTGAAGCACACCTGGCGTGGAAGGAGAAAAAAGGAGACAGGCCTCGCCTGTGTCAGCGCTGGCCAGCTCTGCCTGCGAGGGAGTGGGGATTCCTGTGGGCCTCTGTGGGGCTAGAAGAGAGGGCATCGGGGAACCCTGTCCCCCTGCCATAGAGGCCCGACCGAACCCAGCAAGCCCACTCTCCATGTTCCTCCGGGCGGCCTGCTTCATCAGACGTGCCGGGCCCCCACTGCGTGCAGAGACCTGCGGCTGCTTTCAGCCCTTCCCACTACAGCGGCTCCTCCAGTCCTCCGCCCTGCTCAGCCTACAGAGCAGCTGCGTCAAATGGCTGCTGATACAAGATGACGTTTAAAGACAGTGACTCCACATCCCAATGCAGACAACATGCCTTCCTCTTCCCACCAAGTGAGGACAGGTGACTGGGTATGCACCTCAGTCTCTGTCCTACCTCTTGCTCTGAGCTGTGTAACCTCGGACAAGCAACTGACCTCTGAGCAATCACCTAAAAATGGGGGGGTCATCTGTGCAAAGATCTGACACATAAAAGCCTGCTGCACAGGCTGATCAGAGAGATGCTCATTCTCAGGCTTGACCCAGCAACCCGAACGGGCTTGACATCTCCATTCTGGAGCCTGCCTGCCTAGCCAGAGACTCCAAACCCAAGCAACAGCACCACTGCAAAAAACTAAGCATGAGTGGACTGCTAGGCCCCAAACCTCCCCACGTCACAAGCACGGTGCAGATCAGCAACACTGGCACCACTTGGAAACCTGTCAAGAGCACGAAGTCTCAGGCACCACCCCAAACCCCCTGAATCATAATCTCCATTTAAATAAGGTCCTCAAGTGATGTGTATGCATAATAAAGTCTGAGAAGCATTTTTACTCAAACACACCTAGATCCATGCACCGCCACCCAGAACCACTGCTGCTTTCTGCCTGTTTCTGACAACGAGGGGTACAAATCAGGTTCAAGCATCAAAAACAGTCCAGAAGTTCAGAGGTAAAGAAAGGGAAAATCAACCTGGAAGGCCTTGGAGTTCAAACAACAGTGCCAGCTCAAGGGCACTGCTGACCACACCCACCCAGGTTCCTATCCTCCGAAACCATGAATCTATCACCAATAGTGCCGCACTGCCTGCCAGCACCCTGCACAAGAGGCCAAAGCATCAAGACTCAACTCAGCAGGCTTTCCCACGAGCTCTGGGTCAAGCCATCAAAGCGTGTCCCCCGTCTGACCATCAGCACGTCCTCCATGCCTAGACGAGCACAGTATGTACCTGACAACACCAGTATTCTATGTGACAATAGTGGCATGACCACTTTAAATTGAGGACGGGGACTTCCCAGACAACTCAAGTGCCCAGGGGACTCACCTGATCTCGACAGAAGAAAGGACCAGGCTGAGAACTGCAGATATGACATAGAGAATCTTCCAGGTATGGGTCGATCTGAACCTGCAGGAAGAACAACAGGGGAGTGAAGTGGCTCTTCTCACCAGGAGGCCATGGACTAGGGAGGGGCCATTCACTGTTGGGCTCTGTGTGATACAGGCTGTTTCCTGTGTTGAAGGGGCCTAGAGAGAATTGTGGGCAAAGAGGACAGAGACCCCTGAGGACACACACACGTGCGGGGCCAGGCTGACAGCCTCGGCAGCATGGGCACCACAAACACTCCTGCCTGGGCTTCTCAGCGCCCTGCACCCGGCACGCCACCACCCACCGACAGGTAAGGTTCAGAGGATGCAGATCAGGAGAGCGGGAGTCAGGCTACCTAGCACTGCAGGTCAAACACCACAGCGAGGGAAGGCTCCCATGCTGAGGAGGCGCCCCAGTCTTGGTCCCCTCTCCTGAGCCCAAGACCTGGCCCACCCTCAGACCCCAACCCCACTTCAGTCCCCAGGGGCTCGGTTCCCTGCCCTGGGCACAGCCAGCACAGGGACAGCTCCAGGCTCAGGCCTCTCTCAGACAACCCTGAGGAAGGGCGCAGACCAGCCCACTCACCTTCTTGGTGAACTTGGTGGTTTTGATCTCCACAAAAGCAGCACTGACTGCTTTCAGGTAACTACGCTGGTTATTGAAAGTCACACGACCAGACCCTGTTGTAAAAAAACAGAAGAACAAATATACTTTCTGGCCAAATTCCCCCCAAATCCCACTTTGTCAACACTCAGAAAACCCTGTTTCTAGACCAGTGATGTCCAACAAAAATATACTGTGAGCTACTTTTGTAAAGTTTTCTAGTAGCTGCATTTAAGTGAAAAAAAAAAAAAAAAAAAAAAGTGGGGGAATTTTAACAACGTTTTTTATTTACCCTAACATACCTAAAATATTACTATTTCAACATGTGGCACTAGCTGCACTTCACGCACTCAGTAGCCACATCTGGCTGCTGGCTCCCATATTAGACAGCGAGGTCACAGACCATGATGGCACAAACCAAACAGGAATGAGGGAAGAATCTGCTGACTGAAATGGGGAGGGAGGAGAGTCTTCTGATGCCGGCGGGTGCACAGGTAAGGTTAAAGGGCTCAGAGTGAAAACCAAGATGCAGATAAAACCTCTCTGGGAAGGTGGGCCTGCAGCCACCCCCCTCCTGGCCTGAGGTCCTTTAGAGACCTGGCAAGAGCCAGAAGAGCCTCATCTTGCCAAGTGCCGCCTCTGCCCTGCAGGTTCTGAAGTCCCTGTTCCCAGTCTGCGGTGAGCACTAATGAGCACACGGTGCTCCTTCCTGACCAGTGTTGAGTGTGTGTGTTGGGGGCGGGGGCGGGGTGAGCAGAGCTAGCATTTAGGGAGGTGAGTTAGCGATGTCTCCATCAGAAAGTTCAGGCTCTGCTCCACCTCCAAACCTCACCACTGACAATTGTTCTGCCATGATTAGGGAACCACCCTCCTTTCTTGGGGGGCTAAGCAAATACCCAGGGTTTAGGCCCAAAGACTCCCCTCCACTGGGACGAGAGGCCGTGACCACACTCTGTTGCCTGAGCCACTCAGAGTGCTCCTTCACCCTGACCTGGTCTGTGACCCTAGACAAGGCCACTTTTCAACAACTCTTAATAAAGGAAGCCAGCCAGGCAAGTTCAGGAATGACCTAGCCTTTCAATGAACCATTACCTGGTCTGTCCCAGACTGCCTTGGGCTTCCTACCAAAGGTCCTCTCTCATTTTCGCCTCCTATGGCCTCCTATCACTTTGTGTTTTCCCCTTCACGGGAGGTGCGGGGAGGGGGGTACCAAGGGGTCAGTACTGGAGGTTTTTCTAGAAAAAGATGCTATGCTGCTGCTATGTGCCAATCTGCAGACCTAGGTCAGGCCTCCCTCTCTGCTCCCACGGGAAAGTACCACATCTTGGTCTACATCCCAAGAGCCACCAAGCTTTCCCACACAGAAGTGGGACACTCACCAATGGGATACTTGTGCTTATCTGTGTCAATGCCGGCGTACACCACTCCACCAAACAGGTCGTTCAGAATGGCTGCCAGGGCCTCGGCATTGAGCATCCCATGCAGAGCACCCACAAACACCGTCCTGCTGGGGTCGAACCTCTGAAATGGGCTCCAGACAAAGTTGCTGTCAGCCAAGACCCAGGGGATCACTTGCACCTGAAAACCACCCAAAGGTGTGTCAGCCTGGCAGGAGCCAGAGACAGAGGCTATGTGGAAAGGCACAAGCTTCTGGAGATGCTGAAGTTGGGCTGCTGAGGCCTGGGCAGCAAATGAGAAAGTGCTATCACTCAGCCCCAAGCATGTAAGCCACACTCACCCCGACCCAACTAGAGCTGACTTTTACTGTGTCCACGTGTCCAAAGGGTGAAAATAAGTGGCTGAACAGCAATCGCTCATCCTGGAAAGCAAGTGAAATGGTACCAAACTGTCATACCCAGGAACCCAGCACTATGTCACAAGCTTCCACTGTGTGGTTCCAACAAAGGACCATGGACACAGATGAAGAGAGGGCACAGTCTGCAGACTCTGGGACAGGAAGGATTCAAAGGGAAGGACAGAAGGTGGGGACACTTAAGGTATTTGCGTGAGATGGTCGCTGGCTCACGGTGCCAGGGGCAATGGGAATAACTGGCGAGAGGCAGGACATCACCAGGGGCTGACAGAGCAGAGAACTTTAGGGCAGGAGCTGATCATGCTCGTTTGCCTCTGAATTCCCTGAGCCTGGAACAAAATCTGGCATAGAAGGCAGAAGACTCCACAATGAAGTGTGCTGACAGGTGACCAGCAAGTGTTTTCGGAAGATTACCCTGTGAAGATCTAAAAAAAAAAAAAAATGTCTCAACACAGGAAGAGATTTGAGGCAGAAACCAGCAAGGAGGCAGAAATGGCAGTTCACAGGACAGGAGACAAGACCTGGAGAAGGCCAGCACGGCACAGAGCAGGCCGAGGCCAAGAAGCCTCCTCAACAGACGCGTCTGCAGAGCTCACCCAGGCCTGGTGAGATGACCAGGAGTCAGGACTGATGGGTTCTAGGCCTAGGTGGCCCCAGAAATGAGAGAGCCTGGTGAAAAGTCACCTTGGCAGCCAATTTCACAGAGGTAAGAAAGCTCATTTTGGTCTTCCCAGTCCCACGGGGAACTGCCACCATCTTGGTGTACATCCCGAGGGCCGCCGGGCTTTCCGAGCTTTTTCTCCCAGTAAACAGAAGACTTCAGGATTACAGGACTTCCAAAGAAAGGCCCCAAAGGAGGTGGGGCTCTGCAGGATGTGAGAATAGAGTGGGCTGAAGAGGAATTTACCCACCACAGATCGGAAGTTGCTGTTTTCAATTTCATTTCTAAGACGAGATGTTCGGGACAGAAGTGTGGGCTAGAGTTAAGAAGAGCAAAATTAGGACTGGGAGGCAGTTCGATTCCCACGGGGAGGAGCACGCAGGTAGCTTACTGAGGCCAAAAGCTTTTTTTTTTTTTTTTTTTAAATGTAATTCAGCGTGTTTTGCTGTGTTTGCTGTGGGGCAGGCAGAGCAGCTCCTGCTCCAGTAGGAACACTCACCTGCAGCCTGCACGCCCACCCACCCCAGGAAATCCACGGCCCACACGCCAGCTGCCCAGACCCAGAAGAGACTTCGCACTAGCTCACCTCCTTGCAGCGCAACCTTCGGCTAGACATCTTGAAATAGTATTCACTCAGGCCGTCGGGGCTCAGAGGGTCATGAGAGCACGCCTGCAGCAAGGCCCGGACAGACTTCTCGAGTTCGAAGACCAGATACACGTACCCTATTCCCAAAGGAGAAACTGCATTAAAACCCCTCAGGTGGCCCCTGCTCTGCCTTGGTTTTGCAGCTGGCCGTTTCTTCTAAGACAGGTGGCCTCCTGTGTCACACACAATCTGGTCCTTCTCCTTAAAAGCCCTGCTGAATGGAAGCACTTGCTACGCCCGATGGCCAGGCCAAGAGAGGGAGACATGCACCGTCTCCCACCCTAGTGGGGGAAGGGACTGGCCAGGCAGTACAGAGTCCACTATCGCCACACAGCTCTCTCCCAGGACACAGAGCGGGGTCAGTCGGCCAAGCCAGGCTTTCCTGGCAGGCTTTCTGTGGCCCGTCTGCCAGGGGATGGAGGCCCTGCTCTACAAGCCTAGTTCGACTGCTGCTGGTCCAGTTCATAAGGACATTTTCAGTGAGGATGGGGCAGGGTGAAAATAGCACCTGCTCCTTCCTACAGGGAAGGGATCTCATTTCAGAGCAGTGAGGATCAGGTGCTTGGTCCTCATTCCTGCCAACTCCAAAGGGATCTCGGAATCAGGTCAGGCAAGAGCGTAACTGGGCAGAAAAGACAGGCACAGGAAAGCTTTTCAAATGCCCCGTTTTGAGGGTAGAGGAGCTGTTGGGTTCAGGTTTTGAGAGAAGTGCACAAAGAAGTTCCACAAAGCGGTTTCAGAGTCAGCTCCGACTGCAGGTGAGTCTGGACGGAGGGAACAGGAGAGACGGAGGGGCGTGCTAGTGGCAGAGAAGTGCTGACAGCTGAGAGTTGTGTGCTGGGGGTGCCCAGACCACGCTACCAGCATGCGGCGGTGACGTCCCAGCATCCCTTAGTGCAATACGTGCTAGGGAGAAAGAAAAGCTCCTACCATGTCTTTATTACCTTTAGGCATATTACCTTTGGGAGGACACCGAGGGTGCTTGCCATCCTTACCAGGCCACTCCACACTCAAAGAGCCAAAAACACGGAAGGTGTTAACCAAGCCAGCTGCAAAAAGATGGGAAAGAATGACAGGAGCTGAGGCATCACCCCCAGGAAGGCATGGCACAGGCTCATCCGCCTTGACCAACGACTGAGAACTCACCCTAGTCCCAGGTGTCAAGTGTAAGCACAAGTGTGAGGTGTCACAGAGCACTACAGGAATCTTGGAAGTGTACCCCCCTCCTTTGTAACTCGCTGTGCTCAGGCAGAGGTTGCGCCTCGGCCTCAAGCTCAAGCCCAAGCCCAAGCCCAAGCCCATCGCCCCTGAAGGACATGCCCACCTGCAACCCTGCAAGCAGGAGGCTTTGGCGGCAGCTCACCTTCCGTAATATCCCAAGGGACGCCTCCGAGGAACACCTTGCAAGAGTAGACAGGGTTCTTGTAGTTCCGGGGAGGAAGCTGGCCACTCCAGGTACAAGTGGCTTCATTCACAGCTTAGGCAGAAGACAAAGAAACGGGCTGGAGAGTCAACAGAGTCAGTGCCCTGCCCTGGGGTGAAGCTGTCCAGGAGGAACTGGCCAAGCCACAGTCCAAACCTGGCTGCCTGGAAGAACACCCGTGACTACTCTAAAAGGCTAGAAGACACGCCTCACCAGCCCAGCGGGCCCAGCACAGCAAAACTCACTGGTTCCGTCTCCACTAAAACTGGGAGATGTGCAAGGTGAGCGATCACAGCCCACGTGGCTTTCAGACGTGCAGCTGACACTTTAACCATAAAGCAGTTTTATCTACTCATTGCTTACATACTGATTAAATTGATAATTATTCTAACATAAACAGAGCAATTCTGTACTCAATATCCTCAAGACCTACTGGTCCAAATGGACCTTCTCCCCGGATGTTCAAATGAAAAGCATCCAACTCTCATTTCCCTGTCTTCACTTTGAACTCATCAATCACAGAAGTTAGGGCATCACCAATAAAAACGACCACTAGCGACCCAACAAGACAAGAGTGTCACAGTTGTTCCCAAGTCAGAAACCATACCCCGTCACTGCCAGAGCTACCTGTATGGTACTCAAGCGGACAATGGTCCTTCCTTGATGCCGACACCATAAGATAACGGATCCCTCCAACCCCTTGGCTCCCTACTTATACCAAACACCAGTCTCCACATCCGCTGTGAGCTTCCTCTGACTCTGACTCAAACACCTCGTTAAGAAACCCTTGTCGCCGGACAGAGTAGACGCTCTCTTCCCTTTGGGCTGCCACACAGTATCTAGAGGCCGCTCTCCTCTTGGTGACCAGATCAGCTTCCTCCCAGTCTTTAATCCTGCCCTGACTCGGTCTCTGCCGGTCCGTCTCACTCGTGCTTCTCCCTGGAGACCGGCCGTGCACTGCTGTCTTTTGCTTCTCTCACGGCTGGGCGTCAGAAGACTGACCTCAGTGGGGCGCCCTGTCCCTGCCCACTTTACTCTCCTCCTCCTCCTCCTTCGGCACTGGGGAGGAGAGCTAATGAAATGACCCGTCATTTTCATTCAGGACAATGACATGGAAGGCCATTCCCTAAAAGGCACAGGCTCAATGTGTTGCTACAGCAAGAAATCGGGCACTGTCAGCAATATTTTGCGAAAAGAGGAGTCAATATAATGGCCTCGTCCAAAAGCATGGTAATGCCATTTCACAGGAAAACAATGGCACTAGAGAAAGCACAAAGATGGGTTGCCAAAACCATTAAGTGAACAGAGCAGCAGCACCATTAGGGGCCCAGCTCTGTGAGTGGAAAAAGAGACAGGCTGAGGCCTCTGGGTGCAAACGGGATGGAGACACTGGACGTTCACCCAGACGTCGACTCCATGGCCTCAGGACAGCTGTCGGTGTGCAATGCTCTGAAGCCGCAGTACACCACGACTCTGTGACTCAGTTACCGCCAAGATGAAAAGCAGGTTCACGACGTATCTGAGACCATCTAAATGACAGCACCCAAGGGTTCCTGGGAGACCAGGCCACTTGGGGACCTCCTTTACCTTAGAGGTTGACTAATGGACCGCCCATTGCAGTGCACCCAAGTGTACCAGTCAGAAAGCCTGGGGGAAGGAAGCCCCAGCAGGGGTTGTATCTGACATGTCAGATTAGAGGCGGGGAGGTAGAGAAAACTCCGGGCATCGCTTCCAGGGTTCCTCTTGGAGACGTCCACCTGTGAAAGCAGCAACAGGGGCAGCAGGGCACGGCCAATCTCCAGGGAGGGCGTGAGTGAGAAGGACCCAACTCCTCACTGCCACAGCCCCGTGCACCAGGTTATCTGCCTCCTTCCTTCCTGCTCCGCCTCCAACGATTCCAGAGTTTGTCCCATTTTGTGCACTTACTTCACAGAGCAGATCCAGAGACTTCACCATGCACCCAGGCCCTCTTCCAGACAGTTTACCACTCTGCGAACTGAGGCCACTTACGCTGCTCCCAGAATGAGGCCTTGGGCCCCAAGCGCGCCCACAGCCACACTCACCTGCAGCTTGCCTGTGCAGCCTGGCCTCTCTCTCTATGCTGAAGGGGTCTTTGGGAGCTTCCAAGAGGTCCCAGGATGGCCACACAGAAGCTCCTGGCCATCTCTTTGATGCACTGGTTAGGGAGGGAGTGACTGCAGCAGCGAGAGCGACTTGCTCTTGGTCCATCCGGGACCCAACCCCCATCTTTAAAGAATCTCTGGGCCCACCCCCTGTCAGAGACAGGAAGGGCAGAGGGGGGGAAATGCGAAGGCTTGACTAAGGGAGGAAAAAAGGAAGATACAGGTTTTTAAAGGACAGTTTTGTTATAAAAATAGTAACAACACTATAGGCATGAAAAACACCTTTTAGTTTCTTTTAGACTTCCTTCGTATGCATTTTTAAGGTTAGTTGTCCTTCTACTATAATTTAAAACAAAATCATTTCTCCCCAATTCAACATTTTTTTTTTGTAATATCGTCTTCGTAACCATTTTTAATAAATTAATGATATTCTATTTACAGAGTAAGCTACATTTCCCTGACCTAGTCCTCCACTGTTAAACATTTAGCTCTTTCCAAGTTTTCAGAATTATAAACAAATGTCTTAAGGTATAGCCTCTTCACATTTTGTGTTTTCTTTGGTCAGATTCCTGGGTCTAGAGTGTCAAAATACTTTCCATGAGTGCTCTGTGTTCTACCACAAATGTATGAATGTGCAAGCTTGTATCAAAGCTTTGAAGTCTACTGATTTAAGTAGGTTTTTTAAATGATACCGCGTTATCAAAAAATCAAATTAAAATAATCACTCAATAGAGTAGTTCCTAAAAGTTCAAATACTGCATCTAGTTCCTCTTCTGTGAGTTGTCTGCCCATATCCCTTTATCAACTAAGCCTCAGGGTGAGGTATCCGAGAAAGTTCTTCAAATATCATCTCAGGATATTAAGGCTGGTTATGGAGTGAATTTCTAAGATGGAGTCCTATTGGAAGTGATGTGATGGAACCAGGAGCCCCTCATCTCACCACAGTCTACAGGGGGGAGCTGCAGCCGGGAAGCAAAGGACCCTGCTTGTGGCTGCCCCTTTGGAAGCAGCCTGAACAGAGAGAACCAGTGCGAGGCGGGGCCCCAACACCAGCTCCCGTGTCCTGGTTAGGCTGACAAGAGGCCGGTGAGTGCTAACAGGTCGTGCTATGAATGAGAAACTGTAACCACAACCAGCATTGCCAGTCCTGGACGTGAAAGAGAAGAGGGCAGGACAATCAGCCATTCCACTCATCGAGCAGTCAGCTCGAGGACTCAGTGGAGTGGGAGAGGAGCCGGGATCAGAAGGCACCTGGAACCACATTTTATTTTAGGGTTTCTCACTGCCATGCTCAAGCGCCTCCTTCTACCATCCCCATTCCTCTCATTCTAATCCACTTGCCAACTCCTCTTGGCATGCATGCCACATGTCAGACACATGGCTGCATGTAACGAGCACAGATGCAAAATTAACTCTGACCCCATATTTCATAGATTCATCATGGCCTCTGACTGAGAGTTGGCATGGGTCAGTGAAAAGAATTCAGAAGCCAGAGTCAGTCAGATCTGGATTAAAATCCTAGGCCTGCTAATGGCTGGCACACCTCAGAGTGCCTGTGGGTCTAGTGCCAGACCACTAGTCTTGCAAGAAAGTGAGTCATAGTCTTTTTGCTTGCCTTCAGTTTGTAAAAAAACACACCTGTGAAGCTCAATGAAATGGCATATGCCTGTACTAACATGTGATTTTTTAAATCACCACTTAAAATTTTTGAAATATCATACATAAAGATACATAAACATAAAAATACTGTTTAAAAACTAAAGAAAACCCCATGTAGGTCAGAAAACAGAACACTGCTAGGACCCCTAAGTTTACTTTTGGAATTAACTGTTTCCCAACAGCTCTCAGAGTCACCGGTGAAAAGACAGTTCTCAGTTCAGGTCCGGCAACGGACTGCTCAGTGGCTATACAAGGCATCCGCTATTCTGTCGAGGACAGAACGTTCTGCCCATGCCCACGATGGCCTCCGCATCGCCCAGCCTGCATTCTGTGGACACGCGCTCCACATCGAGCTCCCTAACCCTGCCACCCCGCTCCCCATTGAGCTACATACAATCAAATCTGAGAGATGATCTGATCCAGAGCTGAAGCCACTGGTGTCTGAGTCAGAGGGGCTGCTAGAACGGGAGTCCAGGATGGGCCGCGTGTCCAGGCGGGGTCCTCTCACTGAAGGTGCTGGGAACTTGTCCACCAAGTCAGATCCAAGTGGGTCCAGAGGCAGGAAGCTCAAGGGGGGCTTCCCCAGGACACTGCCCAATGGGTTGTGCAGCATGCTCAGCACTAGGAAGGAAAAAAAAAGGAAGCCTCGTGACCACTTATTTTTCTTCCCAGCCCATCGCCCTTCGCTCTTCTCCCACAGCCACTCAACAAGGGACACCAAGGCAAGGCCACTGAGAGTACAGCAGAACCAGGTGGAGAATAGTGAGCAGATACACGCCCAGTACCAACGCTGGCCGCCAGGGCCCAGGGGAGAATGACAGGACAGCGTTCTGAAGCCCAGAGGTCCTACTGTAACAGGTGCAGCACAAGTCCTGCTGCAACCCAGGCTCAAGGGTCAATGCCAGCATGTGGGAAACTCCGTGCCACCAGGGACCCTGGTCACAGCTGCTCGTCAGACGGCACAGGCCCATGTTGATAGAGGAGACACCTTGAGCACAACTAGGCAGCCCAAAGCATATTCCTTTCTTAGGACCTACCAGTGTGTTTATTAGAAGTCCCACCTTTCTAATACTACGCAGGAAAAAATACGGAATTTCACGCCACACTCCAGAAGTCTGGTACAGCACGAGCATGTCATCTCATCTGAGGGGTTCCTTTATGCAAAGTTCTAGCACACGCAGACGCTCTCCTATGTACCCCCAAACGTCAAACACTGGGGATGGAAGTGGAATGACGTGGTGGTTAAGCCCACTCTGGCTTAAAAGAAGCCTGGGATGAAGCCTTAACTTCTGACCCCTCCTCTGTATGTCCGTCTGCTTGGGACGCTCTCCGAGTCACCACTCCTCATGGGGTCCCAGTTGGGATATCAGCTATTTCAGGACTCCATCAGGAGGGTTCGGTAATTAAGTGGCAGATGGAAAGTGCCCAGTACACGGGCAATAGTTAAATGTGAAACATCGAAAAAGAGTGAAGCAGAGGCCGCGAAAGACAAGAGGATGAAGGGGACAGCAGAAGAGGGCGCCTCCCACACCCGGCCTTGGAGACAGGCGGCCGAAGGCGCAGCGCTAACCCACGCAGGTGGGGCACGGGAGGGCTTCGCCGAGCAGCTGTGGAGGCAGGAGGCTACGGAAGAAGCCTTCACTCGGTATTCTTCTTAGTCTGAAGAAAGGGCAAAATATCCACCTCGAAATGGCTATGAGGTGAAACCAAAATAACGTGTTTAAGTGTGTGGCTGCTCGATAAAGGGTGGCTGTGACCGGCTCCAGCTCGCCAGTAACTTGAGCAAAACACAGGTCACCAGGGCTGGTTCCCCTCAGGCTCCAAGACAGTCTGAATGCCTGGCTGGGCTGTGATTGGTCCCAAAAGGCAGGACTAAACCTTTCCCGGCACGAATCCAGAAATCCAGAGAACGCACGCTTGCAGGGTGCCAGCCACATAGGCCATTCGTGACAGACGAGGTATGGATCAGGACCAGCCTGCTCTCCTTTAGCCAAATAACCTCCCTTTCAGATAGAGACAGGCGAGTGTGTATCTCTAACTTTTTGTAACACAGACGATACTGTGGATGTGTTTACTGTGGTTAAAACAAACAAACAAACAAACAAACACCTTATTTTGAAAAGAAACTGTCATACTCTTCCACAGTGGATGCGCCAGTCCACACTCCCGCTGAGGCGCTTCAGTCCCCCTGCACCCTGACCGACCTCGGTGTGCCTGGGCCCTATACTTCCAGACGTCTGAGCCCAGTGTGCTGGGAGGTGGGGGGGAGCTGCACCACATGCAGCAAGGACTTCAGTGTTTAGTTTACTATTTTCTCTTTAAGGAAACGCTCTTTAACTAGCTCTTTCAAAGCGGCTTTCCAGGCGTGAGCACTCAACTGTGTGCTGACACTCAGCTTCTCTCCAGGCTTGGATTCTGGCCTCCATCAGAAATAACCCTTTCGACCTTCTCCCATTCTCTGGACGAACCTCTGCCTAATTGCGGCACAAAATACAGGCCCTGGAACTCACGCCCTGAGAAGGCAGGGGGTGCAAAGGTTTAGGCGAGGCTCCCTCTGGTGCTGCAAAACCTGGCATCACAGCATGGTGAAAACTAAGACCACAGGCGTCCATCCCGAACGTGGCACCGGTGCCCGAGGGCCTCATCGTTCTTCACATTTTACAAAATGAATCCAGGGTGGTGAAGAACAAGGTAGCGATCAAATCGCACAGAGCTCCGACGACCAAGTAAAGGCGCTGAGATCTGCTCTGCAGGTAACTGGAAGACAGTGAAGATCTGCTGTGGGGATGGAGGGAGGCCGACCAGGTTCCAGCTGAGGAAGACAGCTGCTGGCACCCCGTGCCCAGTTGAGAGGGAGACTGAGTGCTTAACTAGACTTGGGCGATTCCCCGCAGCAGTGTCAGGAACCTGGACAGACCCCGGACCCACACAGGCTGTCGTCTGTCTTCTGAAGAGCGTGTTAAGAAGGAAGTGGGACACGAGAGTTGATGGAAACAGCAGGAGAGGGATGAAAAACAGGTCATGTGTCATCGGTGAAGGAAGAGTCCCGACAGGCTGGAAACAATGGAAAACCAGCCATTTCGAGGGGTGAGAGCTACGAGAGGGTGCAGGGGGCAGGCGGGACGAAGAGGAGGATGGGGACAGTGAGGACTGAGTCTGGAGGAATGGCAAGACCCAGGGTGTGTGACCTTAGGTGTCTGAAGTGGAATGTGCGGAGCCTAAAATACCGGAGAAGTCATCCATGTGAACATCAAAGGGACCCCTGGTGACAACTGGGCCTGCGGTTGAAACAAACCAAAAACAGACACTGAGATCTTCAGAGAAGGGAAAGGACTGGGAAATCAGTAAGGAGTGAGAAAGAAGGATGGGGCGGGGGAGAATGCGTAGCCCACATGTGACAGAGCGGCACCCTAAGGGAAAAGCCTCCAGCGGGAGGAGGAGTCGGAGCGCGCGTCTGTCAGAGACAAACAAGATACGGAGCGTCTGCTGATCCTAGAAGAGGCAGGTGGGAGGCCCGCGGGTCATCAAGGGACATGGCACAAAGCGGCAGGCACAGCCACGCCGAGGAGGAGATGGCGGGCCCAAAGGGCTGTGGGCGGCACATCAAGGATGACCAGCATGGGCCAGTCACTACGTCTGCAACTAAGGTTTTAAAAAAAGTGTATCTGGAGGAGTCAGAAAGCACATGGGTGCCACGGAACCACCTTTCTCATGCACATCACAATGTGTTCACTACCGTGTTGGCACGTCTGTTCTACCAGCCACGAATCTGTCAATTAACCTCCAATTTCTTCTTTACCATTTCCTCAGTGTTTTCTTGAGGCTTTGTCAAATTCCTGTGTCAAAGTCAGGGATTATTTCTATAGCACTCCCCTCATCTAATAAGCCTGTCAAAAAAGAAAGTGGCATGACGACACACACTGGCTACTAATCAACTCCACTTCTTTGGGTGCTCAGAGTCCATGCTCGTCATCTGCTCTAATCTGAACCAGGTCCGATCGCCCTACCATTCACTAGCAGCAATGTCCACCGGCTGCACATCTAGTGCGTGCCAGACACCGTCAGAAGCACTTTAGGTAAATAATCTTCGCTGAACCTAAAAGGTGGGTATCATCACCCCATCTTAACAGAAGGAAACCAAGGCTCCAAGGGCAAGCGTTTGTGTAACAGCTGGTGAGTGACAGAGTGGGACCTGATTCTTTTTCATTCCAAGCTTTACTTCTGTAATGCACCATTGTTAGTGACCTTTCTATTTTAACGCCCAGGACTACATCTTCTTGTCTTCATTTTCTTGATACCTCTCCTTCGTTCAAGTTTAAGACCATCAACTACAGATCAGCTACCTCACCTAGCAGAGGGAAGTGCCTTGGGACCCAAATCATCCAGGTCTTAAGACTCCTCTAGGGCCTGGCTGCTGTAGGAACTCATTAAAAATGCATCTTGGGCCCCATTCCAGACCTGAATCAGAATCTGCATTTTAACACAATCCTCAGAAGGTCTGTGTGCACATTAAAGTTTGAGAAGCGCTAATCTAGAAAAACCTGAGGCTTGCTACTTGAAGCTTCTAATCAGTTTCCTTTACCACACCCCAAAAACCTTTCATGTGTAATTATTTCCCTTGACTTAAAAACTGTAGGTTATTTCAGTATAGCTCTTACAGTGCAGCAGCAACTAATACCCAAGAGAAGAAAAGACACCAAGGTGGCTATGTAGGACATTTCCCAGAGAGTCTGATCTCTGAAAAGACTGGGCAGAGAGGGAGGGAGACAGGGTCACGAGGAACAAATAATGGATATAAAAGAGAGTAGCATGGACTGTGATAACAGTTTCAGGAAAGTGATGGCCAGAATGAGCCGGACATTGCGAAAAACATTCAAGGCAGCTGAAGAACTCTGCGCTCACAGGGAGCAAAGGGAGCGTGGGCCTGCTGCTTAGGACAGACGCCTGTGTACAGAGAAGGGAGAGAAGACGCAGGGAAGGGTACTGACAAAATCAGAATACGAACAACAGTTCAGAGACAGTCTCGTAGTGATTTTAAATTGACTGAAATGATAACTCTTTTGTGATGTATGTATGAATGAGAAATATTCTATTCTTCACAGTTCATAAATTATATATATAAGACAAACGTAGAGGGAACAAGCAAATGATACAGCAAAGGAGGTGATCTCAACACTAGGAGAATCTGAATAAAAGGATACAAGTATTCTCTGCACAGTTTTTATTTTATATTTGCAATTTCTGTAAATTTAAAATTATTTCCAAACAAAAAGATTTTTTTAATGAAGGAAGGAAAACTAGTCAACTCCCATCTGACTTTCTTTGCCTCTTTGGAGGCGACTGATCTAACCAGAGCATAATAAGGACTAGAATCCCACGTGGGAAAAAAATGGTAATTGAGTGCTTTTGGAGTCTCTGCCTAGAAGAAATAATCTCCTTTTGATCAAGCTCTTGAAGTATATTTGTACAGATATCTGGAGGCACATGTTCTGCCTTCTCCACCAAGGGTACTGACAACATCCTGACACCTGGCAGAAAGGAGGGGATCAGTGTCTGCTGGGTGTACTGAAAGCGGGGGACTACCCCACGCCTCGGGCCAGGATGCCCACTGAGGCTGCACC